GCATGCTACGTACCATATCCATAAGAGTGTGATTGCGACGCTCAACTACGCCATTTTGCTGAGGTTCACCAGGCATTGAATATTGGGCAATTATTCCATTTTCAGCAAGATATTTTGCGAACGGTCCTGGAATTTGCCCATAAGGAGCATGCCTGCCATAATATTCTCCCCCGTGATCAGACCGTACTACTTTGATCTTTAGGTTGAGTTGATTTTCAACCTCGGCTTTATAAATCTTAAATTTGTCCAAAGCTTCGGATCGATCACGTATGGGGTAAATGTAGCCATAGCGAGGGAAATCGTTTGTGATGGTAATGAAGGAATCAAAACCATCCATAGACTTTACGTTAAAAGGTCCGCATATGTCAGTATGAATAAGTTCAAGGACCGATGTGGCTCTTACTGCTCCTTTCTTAATTGTTTTCACATATTTTCCCTTAATACAGTCAATACAATTGCCCGCATCAGAGAAATCTAGCGGATAAAGTATTTCTTCTTTAATCAATCGTTCCATTATCCCCCTCGAAATGTGGCCCAGGCGATGATGCCACAATTTTGAAGAAGGATTGATACTTCTCCCATTCTTTTTATGATTGCATTCATTCATATTCATCTCGCAGAGATTCACACACATAGGATAACCAGAAAGATTTAACATATAAAGTTTGCCTCGTCGAACGGCAAGACCAACATCCTTATTACAATACTTAAAAAAACATTGTTTCTCCCCGAAGGTACAATGAAATCCAAAATCATCTAAACATGAAACTGAAATCAAATTCCTACTCAAAGTAGGCACATAAAGAACATCCTTGAGCTGAAGTAGGAAAGCAGTGTGCAACTTCAAGGTGAGGGAGCCCACGGCTTCAACTTCAGCCTCCTTCCCATTCGCGACATTAAGTCTTCTTGTTCCCTTTAGGGTGTGACTTATATGGAATCCCTGCAAAGAATTCGCGACATGAACAGTCGGACCTGAGTCAATCCACCATGTAGATTCAGAAAAATCAACATATAGAGATTCATCTACAAGAGTGATCTCATCCTTACCCTTTTTATTCAGCCACTTAAGAAAACCTGGACAGTCCGCCTTGAAATGATTTGGCTGCTTGCAAAAAATTGTAAAGTCTTTCTCCAGCGGCATTTGTAAGATTAACTAAAGTAGCCGCTAAAGGTGGGGGACGTGAACAACTTGCCTCGTTGCATTGCTTAGGCTTTGGAGGATTCTTTTAGGAATACTACTTTTTGTTGGGCACATTATTGTTATCAGCATGGTTCTCATGCTTCCTCTTTGCAGAGTTAACAAGGAGAGCTTGATCTTTCTGCTCACTCTTCATTCTCTCTTCCTCCTGAACGCAATGTGCAATGAGTTCAGATAGTTTCCATTTGGTTTCAAGAGAGTTATAGTTTATCTTGAATGGATTGAATTGTGAGGGTAGTGACCTAAAAACTAGGAGCACCAGAAGCTCTTCGTTCAAGTCACACTTCATGGTTTTAAGCTTTGCCGCGGCATTGCTCATACTTAAGATGTGCTCCCTCACATTTCCATGCCCGTCATATTTTGCAAGCAGCTTGTGCAAAAGCTCATCTGCATACACTTTCTCGGAGCCCTTAAATTGTTCTTCCACCGATTTCAAATATTCGGCGGCACTTTCATTGGCAGGAATAGCCCCTTTAATCTCAGTCGAGATGGAGAAGTTCATAATTAGGAGCGCCATTATGTTTGACCTCTCCCACTTCTCAACTTTAGTATCATAATCTTTCTTAAGCTCAGCATACCCAGTGGCACCCTTTGCAGGTTCCACTGGTTTACTTTCCCTCAGTGCGAGGTCAACCTCATGCCATCCGAGGTGCAAAAGAAACGAGTCCTTCCATGATTGGAAGTTATTCCCAGTAAGTGGCTCGATCTCGAGGCCACGAGAACCGGAAGCTGACATGTTTCGAAATATCATAAGTAAAGGAAAAGAATATCATAATTAAATTAAATTAAATTGCACAAAAGTTAACCTACGTTGGTTTGATCAATTTTCATGCAAAAATTAACTCCAAATTATATCACCGTTGGGCAGAAAATAATAAGGAATTAACGGAGTGATTCAAAAAATGTAAAACAACGTTGGTCTGTATTACAAAAATGATCACATTAATCTCATGTGTAATATCAATTTTCCAACATTAATAATTCACCATTTATTGATATTACCATGGGATGAACATAAATGTGCCATAAAATGACACAAACATTAATTCATAAAAGTTTTCTAAATAAAATTTCTCGTTGGTTCCATTTCATTCAGAAAACTAAACCATAATTTTCAGAATCACTTTTCTGGCAATTTTCTATTTATAACAGTGCAAGAACATTTTGGGAATAATCATAATACGGAAATACACTGAATAAATAGAAAACGCACAGAAACTTTAATATTAGCCCAAAACCCATGGCAGCTCTTTAAATCCTAGCCCAGTAAACACAAAAAAAACACCTTTTCTGCGGGCTAAGACAACTTGGGCCGAAGCCCAGCCGCGAAAACGTAAGCCCGAAGGCCTGCCCTGAGCCACCCGTCGCTCTCGGCCGTCCGATCGGGCCGATGGCCGCGATCGTCCCGCATGGAGCAAAACGAGCGAGGCTCAAAACCCTAGCCCTTATTTCCCCATCTCCTCCCGATTTCCTCGCTCACTCCAGACGAGTGGCGACCGCGCGGCGGCTCGAGGCTCGCCGGCCATGGTGGCGCGGTGGCTGCCCTCGCCGGAGCAGCGTGCGACGGACCGAGTCCTGTGCGCTCCTCCGGCGAGCGTAGCTCCAGCGTCGCGCGCACGGCGACTCGTGCGGCGGAAGGGAGGTCATTTCACCGGCTGCTGCCGGCGCAGGCGTTCGACGGCGACGGCGGTGTGCAAGGCACGGAGGCCAGGCGACGCGCTCGTGCGTGAGCGCAGCAGCGGCAGCTGATGCTTCATTCCGCTCGCCGTCCCGAGGGGCGGCGGCGTTCCGGCCATTCCGTGCCCCAACGGCGGTGGCCGTCGGACCCGAAGGCCGTCATGCTCAACAAACGTAAGATCCAGCACCTCCTTTGTTTAATTTCTTTCAATTTGAGGCATGATTTTGACTTTCTAGGGTTCCAAAATTGGGGAATTTCTAGAGTTAGGGTTCGGCTAACTTTAACTTCGCCAGTTCAATCTAATTGCTAACAGGGACTAAAAGCAATGTTAATTCACATATCTTGATGCAGAAGCATGGTGTTATTAGACTAACCGAATAGATTAATCATCATTATTGAATCATTAACACTAATCCCGTAGCAAATTAGATCTAAACCGAAACCACATAACCCTAGAGATTAAACATTGACTTCAACAGAAGGGGAATCTAGCCTTAATCATGAACCATTATCCTCAACCTTAATCATCAGTATGTAATCAGGATCACCAAACTTAAACAGATCATCTTAGGGATCTAATCTAGGCTTAACCATGCTCTGATACCATTGTTAGACTTATAATCCCGTAGGATCTACTTAACAGATCGTAATCCAAGCATTAGATCACCTAATAACATAGATCAGAGAGATGGATTAGGTTCTTACCACCAATGGAAGCAGCCATTAGTGTCGACGGTGCGAAGTCCCGTGCCTGCTCGATGCAGGCTTAATGCAGGCTCGGTGAAGTTGCTCGTTGCAGGTAGCGGCGTCCCTCTGGGCGCCACCGGCACTGCCCTGGGACAGGGGCAAAGCTTGGAGATGATCTTCCCGTCGTGCAGCGCTCCCCCAGATCGGTTAGGGTTTAGGGATGTGGGGAGCAGGAGTAAACCGTACGAGAACTAGTCTTACGTAGGTGCCGGCTACTCCCCCATCTTTTTATGTGCGCTGGCGACAGGGGCCAAAACCATAGTTGGTTAGGGTGCCCCCGATCAGGGCGCGTAAGTTGAGATCGAGAGGTACGAACGTTGGTTCGTGGCCTTTCTGTTTCTCTCTTTAATGTAACTTTATTTCTGGTTTTTTATTTTCGTTTTGGCCCATTGGGCCTCTAGATCAATACCAACAGCACTCTGCTCTCTCCTATCGGCACCATGCAGAACACGACCAACGGGTGCAAAGCACCGCTGGGACAGCAGCAAGCACCATAATAAATAAGGTGAAACCAGAAAGTTTAATTACGACCGCTTCTTGCTAAGATGACCACTGAGACAACACAAAGCAAACAATGAAGCTGGGAAAGGTTGCAACGTACATCTAGGGCGCACCTCTCCGAAGCCGCCCCAGCGGGAGTTACGCCGTTCAGGTGTTAAACCGATCCAGCATGCTCCCATGCATGATCTGCAAAACATCACCCATAGACGATGCTTTGCTTTGAGTAAAGTTTGGTCTGTTTCTTTGACATTGGACTGCCCATGCATGGACAAAACGTTCAAGCACAAGAAGAAGGTGTGCTTATAGGATTTGTTCCTTTAATTTCGTCATTGTTGCTGTTGTTCAAGAGATTACGGATAATAATGGTTGTGGCGTTCAGAAAATAATTATATTGGCTAATGAATGAAAACAGACAAACAAAATATGTGCACACAACTGTAGTCAACCTGGCCATTTAATAAATTGTCATATTAGACATCCAATCCATGCGGACTATAGTTTGCATGGCTTAGGCTGGTCACAATGGGGAAGAACTTAGGAGTAATATCACACACTCCAATGCAACTTTGCTTATGTGACACATATTTAATGCAGAGAGAGATGCTTGTGGTAACTAGCTAATTTACTGGAACATCACACACTCCAAGAAATAATGAGTCTATAACCTAATAAATACATCGTTGCATGACACTACATAGATGTTCCTACCCATTATGGAGGTAGTAACATAGTCTAGGGAAGTGTGTAAGTTACTAACTTATGTTCTTGCCCATTGTGACCAGCCTAATAAACCTAAGACTTAAAAGACTGTCTTGCCATAGAAAATACTACTACTACTATATAACACGAAATCTATCATATTGGGCTTCTTCTTCTTCACATGATATGCTTGTCGAGGAACCTCTTCTTGGCCCTGATCTCGTTGCTGTGTCCGCACTTCTTCTTGCGGCAGTTGGTGGTGCCGCGGGGGAGGCGCGCGTAGCACTTGCGGCAGATCATCTTCTTCTCCTTGTACTTGAGCGCGAGCTGCAGGAGGCTGGGGTCCATGATGATGTACTGGCCGCGGCTGCCGCCCCGCAGGCGGAGCACCAGGTGCAGCGTCGACTCCTTCTGGATGTTGTAGTCCGCCAGGGTGCGCCCGTCCTCCAGCTGCTTCCCGGCGAAGATCAGACGCTGCTGATCCGGAGGGATACCTGCAATCGGTAAGCAAAAGCAACCGGCGATGAGATTGATCACTGCCGCGACGAACACTAAGGCCGGCGACCAGCGATGAGATTGATCGATGGTGGTACATACCTTCCTTGTCCTGGATCTTGGCCTTGACATTGTCGATGGTGTCGCTGCTCTCCACCTCGAGCGTGATCGTCTTCCCGGTCAGGGTCTTGACGAAGATCTGCATCTTTCCTTTTTCTCGCCGACTGATCAACTGCTCCTCGCCTGTTCGATCTGATGATCGTGTCTCGTCTCACGGTCTCACCGGCCTATATTTATAGCGAACCAGAAACGCGCCCGCTACGAAAGAATAGTAACCCAGCATGGAGTTCTTTTCTTCGACGATTCTCAACCGACGATGGTAGGAGTACGTGGAGTAGACGCGGCCGCTGCGAAAAGAAAGTAACCCTTCCACCACCGTCATGGTCTCGTCTCTCGTGGGGAAGAAGAAAACCACCGCAAAAGTCACTTTGAAACCCGGGTGCATTGGAGCCCTATTTTTTGAACTGTGTCAAAATGCTATTTTGAAGTTTCAAAATATTCTGAAAACAAATCAACATGTTTATATGAATGTATATTGCACGTGTGTAAATTATGCTGAAATAAGTAACCATGTGAGTTATACAAAAATGACAAAATTATAATTTTGAAAAGATGAACAGTGCATGCATAATTCACTATTTGGACACCATTTTGTCATTTTTGTATAGGTCGCATATTTACTTATTTCATCATCAAACTTTACACATGTCTAATATACATCCATATAATCACGTAGAATTTTTTTTCAGAATTTTTTGAAACCTTAAATGTGATTTTCAAAGTATTTAAAATAAGATCCTCCAATACATCCGGGTTCCAAAAATCCACTCAACCTACCCGGCCTTAATTGCCATCGACTAGTTCTGGGCCGTAGTATCAATAAGTCTTATTTTTGCCTCGAAAACAAAATCAGTGAGTCTTATTTTGGATCCTGAGATGGCCCGGTAGCTAGAGTTGTGACAGTGGCACTGAACATTTTGATCGCAAGTAGGAAGCTAATTAAGTTGAAACAACTACTGCAACATTACCGGCCCGAAACAATTGATTCTGACTAAAATAGGCTCTCATTTTACAGAAAATATATTGGTAGTTGTGATTTATTTTCAAACCTAGCCAAGAAGGATCTAACATAGTTAGCTGCTAAATGGTTGTCGTATTTCATCATTTTGGTCACCGTCATTCTAGGTGACTACACTTTCACTCGAACGCAACACCAAACCAAGCCCTAGGACACCTAAATACCATGACAACGTCCTCAGGAGGTGGGAGCCGAGCAAAGCATCGTCGTTGTTGCGTTCAAAATGGACAAGGGTCTTCACCCGAAAACCCGGCACGGAGAGGAGAACCACAATGATGTCCTTAAGAGCAGAGTTGCGCATGTAGGCATCGCCCCCATAGTCGCTAAAGCTTGGAGCTTTCGCTCAACAGCTCACCCGTGCCAGGAAGGCATCCATGGCAACCGTGACGAGCACATACCTCCAGATACAGATGTGGGCGCCACCACCAACAATGACGTGGCTCAGGCGCTGCGGGAGTTCTTGCGGCCCGGAAAAAGGCATTCAGGTACGCCGCCAAGGTATGGAAAAAGCAACACCGGTTCATCCCCACCTTCGATAATGATTGTCGTTTCTTGATTGATCTATTCGATTTTTGGGAGGAAACACGTGATCTCTCTGCAGCTGAGGCGTCCCTCCGTCTCGACGCACGGCTTGCCCTTGCTGCGTCGGTTCGCCGGCAGTGCGCGCACTGGCGGCAGCGAGGGAAACGCCGGGCGGTCCGCGAAGGCGACGAAAATACCAAGTTCTTCCACGCCTCCGCCTCCACCCGACGACGACGCAACACCATCGGCACGCTGGAAGTTGGAGGGGTGCAGGTGGTGGACCATGCTGGCAAGGCCGCCGCCTTGCTGGGCTTCTACTCGGCTCTGCTGGGCCGGCCCAGGCCGCCCACCTGGAGCTTCGATCTGCCAGCGCTCTACGTCGACGCCCCTGTGGTTGACGGGGCGTCGCTGGTGGCTCCGTTCGACCACGTCGAGATCAAGGCCACGGTCCACGCCCTGGATCGCACCAGCGCCCCGGGCTCGGACGGGCTTGGTCCTGCCTTCTACCAGGCGGCGTGGGCGGAGGTGGCGTCGGACATCCACCGCCTCTTTGCAGAGTTCCATGCTGGGACTGTCCGCCTCGATGGGATCAACAGAGCCTACATCACCCTCCTGCCCAAGAAACCGGGCGTGCCGACCCCGGCTGATTTCCGGCCCGTCTCGGTTCAAAACGGCGACGTCAAGATCCTCTGCAAGGGGCTCACGATGAGGCTTCAACGGTAAATCGCCCTCCTGATCGACGAGGATCAATCTGGCTTCGTGCGAGGGCACAGCATCTCGGAGAATTTCGTGTATGCCACGGAGCTGGTGCAGTGCTTCCACAGGCGGCGCGCCCCGGCGGTGGTGTTGAAGCTTGACTTCGCCAAAGCTTTTGACTCCATCAACTGGGCAAGTTTGCGGACTATCATGGAGGTTCGGGGGTTCCCGCCGCTCTGGTGCGCATGGATGGACTCCCTCTTCCACTCCTCGCGCTCGGTCGTCCTCCTCAACGGCGTGCCGGGGAGGTGGTTCCAGGTCGGCTGCAGCCTGCGGCAGGGGGACCCCGTCTCCCCTACCTCTTCATCATCGTCGCCGACGTCCTCCAACGCCTCATCCGCCATGATGATGTGCTTCGCCACCCCCTACTGCCGGATGCTCCGGCGATGGTGCTCCAGTACGCCGACGACACTCTGATTATCATGCGGGCGTGCGGGCAGGGGGCGGCGCGCCTCAAGCTGCTTCTGGACCAGTTCGCGGAGGCCACCGGACTGGTGATTAACTTTGCCAAAATCACCCTCGTCCCGATGCACGCCAATGCCGATATTGTGGAGCAGGTGGTGGCTGCCCTGGGGTGCGCTGCCGGTGTGTTCCCGCAGTCATACCTGGGGCTCCCTCTTTCTTGGGAAAAACTGCGCTTCGCCGACTTCTTGCCCATGATCGCGAAGGTGGACATGTACCTTGCCGGATGGGCTGCTTACCTTCTCTCGCCCGCCAGATGGCTCGTCCTCATCAATGTCGTCCTCGACGCCCTGACTACCTATGCCATGGCGGCGCTACTCCTACCGCCTGCTGTCATCCGTGCTCTGGATGGACTCCATCGCTCGTTCCTCTGGAACATCGCTGAACGGGCATCAGGCGCTCAATGCCTGGTCGCGTGGCGTCAGGTCTGTCGCGCCAAAGCCGAATGTGGCTTGGGAGTGCGTGACCTGGTCACCCAGAATGAGTGCCTCCTTCTAAAGATGATACACCGGCTGCATGCCTCGCCACGGTCGAGATGGGCGTCGTGGGTCTGGGCTGGCGCGGCCGGCCACTCTCTCCTCTCACGCGGCGAGTTGGCGTTGGGCGAGCACCGGGCCTCCATTGTCAAGCTGATGCCACTCTACTGATCCCTCACAAGGGTTGACGTGGGGGACGGGAGGTGTTGCTCCTTCTGGTGGGACTGTTGGCTCCCCTGCGGAGCGATCGCCTCGGTCTTCCCCGCTCTCCTCTCGCACACCGTCGAGGCTGAGGTCACGGTGTGGCAGGTGAGGCGGTACGGCCTCAATAGCTTTCTGGTTCCCAGGCTCACGGCTGTGGGCACGCGCGAGTTGCGGGATGTTCAGAGGCTGCTGAACGAGGCGCCGCGCCGGGAGGGCCCCGACGAGCGTCGGCTGATCCATGCGAGGGCGCGCGAGGGGGGCTTGTCCTCCAGCTCGGTCTACGCCCTCTTGCGGTTCGGTGGGGTGACCGCGACCTACGCCGCCATGATCTGGGGCGCGCGAGTGCCGTCCCGAGTCAAATTCTTCTGGTGGCTGCTGGTTCAAAGACACATCCACACGCGTGATGTCCTGCTACGGAAGTGCATTCTTGCTGCGAATGAGGCCGGCTGCCCTCTGTGCCCCGCCACTCTCGAGACTGCGGACCACCTGCTGTTTGCCTGCCCGTTCGCGGGCGGTCTCTGGCAAAAAGTCGGGATGTGTGCGGACGGAGCCTCGCTTAGCAACCTGAACTCCCTGGCTAGGGCGGCAAGCAATGTCGTCGACTCTGGGGTGGAGTTTGTGATGCTCTGCTGCTGGCACCTATGGAAGCATCGCAACGCCGTGGTCTTCCAGCGGCAGGCACCGTCCTTGGCCAGGGCCCTGCAGTGCTATAGGAAGGACGCTGATCTGTGGCGTGCTCGCCTGCAACATGATCGTCGGGCTCACGTCGACTCCTGGCTTAGGGCTCTCGCACCCTAGGCTTGTCTTTCTCACTCAGGACTATGCCCCATGTTGCCTTGTTTGTAAAACTCTCTCACTGTAAAAATCTGGGGGCCTAGCCCGGCGTGATCAATATATTCACGTGGGGGAACTCTCCCCCCGGTGAAAATTCAAAAAAAAACCACCACCAATGACAAAGAATGAGACCAGGCCACCCACCGCTACACCCCTCGGCACCAACACAACTAAGAGGCGTAGCCACCGGCCGCCACCAAAATGCCCGTGGGAGAGCCAACCATGTGAGCCACCATCTGCGGCCTCCACACCAGCATACATGCCTTGAGACACTGCCAACCACGCACAACACACAACACACCAACCCCAGTAGGAAGAGCAGAAGGCACCTCCTTCCACTCCTGGCCCAACATCAGCCATCGAGTCTGGGTCCATGCCTCCATGGTAGGAAGCGTCGAAGCTTGTGTCCCCAACCCATTTCCGTGGATCAGGGGAGAGATGACCCCATGGATGTTGATGTTTGCTGCCCAGCAAGCCTCGACCATAACCCACCGGCCTTGGCCCACGCAAGCTCGCACGATACCTCATATATGGCCATCAGCGCCAATCCATCAGACGTCGCACCACCGCGGACCGCAGCACCGGGGTGAGGCCACCACACCTGTGAAAGACCTCCACCTCCCCCATGGACCATGTCCGATGCCTCCAACCCAGTGGGCCTCAGCCACCGCCATCACCGTGTGCCAACTACTGGCAACAGATCTAGTGGATTTGGCCGAAGCATGGAAAATACGCAACCACCAGGGGGCACAATAGTCTATGGCCTCTGAAACCAGCCACAACTAGTGGTGCGTCCAAGCCCTACTGACACCA